CCCCGTCCCCCCCCGAGCCCCCCCCCCCACCCCGACCCCGACATGGCCCAGCCACCCTTTGTCCCCACTGGTCCACACCCCCGCTGCTTCCTTGTCTGGCTGGACCGGACCACCTCAGGCCCTCTTCCTTTGTCTCCCGGGGAGGGAGGTGAGCTCGCCGACACCCCACCCCACCCCCCGCACGTTTCCTTTGCTCTGGCCTCCGTGTGCGGTCGGTCGTGGAGGCCCCAGGATGACAGCCCCCTCAGCCCTTCCTGTCCATTCATTTGCTGGACGCGAGTCGCAGTGTGTTGGGCGCTAGGCGCTGGAGATGGTGCGTCTTGAACGCTACGGTAGACCTGCCCTGCCCCCAGAGAGGCTTGCTTGTCGCAGCACAGACACTCAAATACGGAGCATTACAGTTGGTGACAAGTGTTGGCAAGAGAAAGACACGTTAAGGTGGGGGGTGACTGTACCCAAAGGGCCTGCTGCCTTGGAGAGGGGTATTATAGGTAGGACTGAGAGGTAGAGAAGGAGGCTTGGTCTTTGAGCAGAACAAGGAGCAGCAAGCCATGAGGTTAGGCGACTAACCTAGGGGGACACAGAACCCATTCCTCCAGCTACCAAACTTTTTCCTTCCAGGCAGGGAAATGAGACGGCTTTAACCTCTCTAGATTGCCTCGTTCCTTGATGAGTGTCCTTTATCCCTTGATCGTGGGCTGAGATGGCCCTGTTTTCTTAGATCCGGTCCCGCTTGAGGTACATAATAAAATATTATGGTACATAAATAAAATATTATGAAAGTAGGGCCCCCCCCTCTATCTATGAAACAGCGAATTGAAAACACAAAGATGTCTTTACAAGCTACTAAGTCCTCTAAAGAAAATAAGTCTTCCGATTAAATGTCAGTGCGGGGGTTGTGAGGATTAACCAAAACCACACTCGCCCAGCATCCTAAATAAGCATGTGCAAAATAGATCCTGTTCCTGTGTAAGGGAGCAGGCAGTGTATTCTGCTCTCAGCTTTTAGGTTCCCAAGGCGGCGGGTGAGATCCATCAGCTGGAGAATTGAAATCTATTTTGAGTTTCACTTGCAAAAGTAAAAAGCCTCAGGCTGCTGTTTGGTGTGCCTGGCTGACAGAATGCTTTTTTTGGGTGGCCTTGATTCCCAGATTCCTTAACAGGGTTCTTTTTACTTGGGCTGTGATGTGTGTCAGCTTCTCTTAGACTGATATTTATAGCTAGTGTAATCTGTGTAAGTAGAGCGATCAATTGTAACATTTGTGTTCCAGGTCTAGTGTCTGAATGAGTTGGATGGTTTCCACTAAGGAGTCAGATCTGTGGGCAGATTTTCTATATCAGATCAAATGTCCAGGGTGACATCACATGGAAATTGTCATGTCGGTCACTCTCAAGTGTGGAAGTTGTTGCCCAAACAGACGGTCCCAAGTGAAGACAGTTGGATTTTTAATACCGAAATAGGCTGATCTTGTAACACTCTTGTATTATAATTAAGTTATGGTAGAATGCTGCTTTTACACTTTCAGGTCAGAGTGGCCTGCCCGGACATCTCAACCTTGTTAAAGCTGTGTTAAGAATGCTGCTGGCTTGGAGTGGGCTGGCTTTGAAATAATTTCCTCATTGTTCTCCAATTTCTCTACCACACTTAAGCCCCCCATAAGTTAATAAGATGTCAGGGTCTCCACGGCTTGTTCTCACACCATGGGCTTTATAAGAAATGTTTATTAAGAAATGTTTGTATTTTCTTAAATGGGTATGGAGGGGCATCTTTGTTTTACATTTTAAAAGTAGCTCTTTTATCTTACAATTGTACCTTTTTTATTTGTTTTGTTTTTCAAGAACACACGTTTCTCCAAGTAACAGTCTTGGCTGTCCTGGAACTTCTGCCTCCTGTGCGCTGGCATTAAAAGCATGTGCACTACCACCTCCTAGCTTCAGTTGTGCCTTTTGTTTTGTTTTTGTTTTTCGAGACAGGGTTCTCTGTGGCTTTGGAGGCTGTCCTAGAACTAGCTCTTGTAGACCAGGCTGGTCTCGAACTCACAGAGATCAGCCTGCCTCTGCTTCCCGAGTGCTGGGACTAAAAGTGTGGCCACCACCGCCTGGCCAGTTTGTGCCATTTTTTAAAACCAGAATTTGAATCACCTAAAGGCCAACTTACCCAAACCATGATTTTTTCTTTTTTTTTTTTTTCTTTTTCTTTTTTTTTTCTTTCTTTTTTTTTTTTTTTGTTTCAAAGAAATGTGTGGAAATGGTAGTGAAGAAATTGGTAGAAAATGGATAGATTTATGTTTGTTTTGTTTTAATGAATGTTTGATGGTGTGTCAAAATGAGGGCAGCAGTATCCAAAATCCTATTTGAGTTTGTCATAATTAGGAAGGAGTGTGTAGCTTTGCTACCAGCCATATAAGCAAGGCCCAGAATCATCTCTCCTTATTCTAACTTCTATACTTAGGCCAAAAGGGTGTACAAACTCTGAAACAGATGGTGAAGTGGACTTTTGAGTGCTGGGGAAGGTGGCAGCCTAAGAAAAAATATCTTCAGGCACCAAGTCTTCTTGGAGGGAGCCTGGGTGTTTCTCATCTTTACTGCTAACAAGTGGCTGAAGATGTGGACAGCTATTTAGGCCTGTCGAGTCAGGGTTGTTTGCATATGGAAATAGCCTTAAGAACCACTTTCTGCCATTCAGAATTTGCAAACATTCTAGTGAGAGAACTAGACTTGGCTTGTTCTTTATGAGAGGAGTAACTAGGGACACTGCCCTCCTTCAGTGGCTGGAAGAGGGTGCTTGCTGGTCAGGGCTTTGATTCTGCCACTTCCAGTGAATGATTTGTTCCTGATTCGAAGGCAAGGCAGCTCCTCTACAGGCAGGCTTTGTATGCTGGGTCACTCGTCCCCCTGACATTTGATATAGCTGCCTTCATACTAAAATACAACCCACTGTGCGACTGGGTTCAAGTCCTGTTATATCAGTAATGACCTAAAATTCCTAATTGGTATAGACAGCTGATACTGTCATGCTCCAAGAGATGCATGTCCAGTAATGCTTATTTAGACAGCATTGGCTTCAAAAGTGGGGGGCAACTATAGTTTATGTAGAAAAGAAAGACCTGTACACCACAATTCATTTTGATGTGGGGGTCGGGTATATGATATAGAGATTGGAAAGTTCTCATCTTTTTGAGTGCCCATGAGATCTAAATGTTCTTGCTTGGCCTGGTTTGCATGAACTAAATTTAGGTTTCTGATGGATACTTTGAGGAGGTGTGAGACCTTTGAAATTGTCTGGGCTAGTAGGAAATTAACAGGGAGTTCCACAAGAGCCGGGAAAGATGCACCCCCTGTTTGCCGACTCTGACATATTTATAGTAGCTGGACTCTCTGGGACCCATTCAGTGTCTGATACAGAGGCTGGGAAAACAGGGAAAAGCAAATGGTTTTGAGCTACCAGACCCCTCTGCTGGGCTCCTGGCCTGCCTGCTACCTTTGCATTTTAGTAGGAACCACAGGACCTGGTATTTATTTGAGTAATGGAATTAAATGCTGGTATACTGAGCTTTGATATTGAAATGAATGAAAAATTCCCCGTGAAGACTTTTTGGATGATAATCTACTGAGATAATTCTTTTCTCTCTTTTTCCCCCTCTTTCAGTGGTGCTGGGATGGTACCTTATGCACTCTAGGCAAGCACTGTACCCCTGGGCCACCTCTCTGGCACTTGAGGGTTTTATTTGTTTGACATTTTATGAGATGCATCTTGCTATGTGGCCCAGCCTGAACTCTGTTCTGCTGCTGTTCCTCTCTTATAGACCTGAGCCACCACCCTCAACATCCCCCCAGCACACACACACACACACACACACACACACACACACACACACTGTTTGTCCCTTTTCCAGTCTCTTGTAGAGTGGGTGTGGTGTGGTGTGTGTGTTGCATGCCTTCCCTGACTTTCTTGCAGCGGTGATGCTGACTTATTCCCAGCAGTAGCTAATACTGGCAAGAAGGCTGCTGGCCATGTTGTAGAAGTCTTATCTGAGTCATTGCTTCTGGGATGACATCTGCACCTGCAGTGCCCCAAGTGGGTTCCGAGTAGGCTGGAGTGCTTGACTTGAGTAGCTCCAAGAGTCCCTCCCCTACCTTCCATTGCTTAGTCACCCTGTCACCCATCTTGGAGGTCTAAGTGCCCATAGACCTGCACTTATGTGTCCGTCATACTCCAGAGATGACAAGCTAGTTGCCTTTCTTTTGTTGTGTGTACAGTCTGAATGTGTGCATGTGCACCTGTGCATGTGTGTGCTGTAGTGTACATGGAGAGCTCAGAGGACAAGCTTGGGGTCTGGGTTTTGCTCTTCCATCTTGTTTGTTACAGGGCACCTGTTTGTTTGACTACTGCTTATGTTGGGATGTCTGGCTTATGAGCTTTCAAAGATTCTCGTCTCCCAGCTCATGTAGCAGTACTGGGGTTATAGGCAGGTCTCTGTGTCTGGCTTTACCTGGGTTCTGGGGATCCAAACTCACGTCCTCACACT